CCAAAATCTCCCTTCTTCCCCTTTCCACTCTGTCTCCTCTTTTGAACGGGACTATCTGATTTTCCTCTCCCCCTCCATGTTGCTATTGTTTCCTATGCACCCAACTGCCTCAAATATCAGCCTTCCTCTCTCATTTCAACCCTCCCTCTTCCTGACAGTCTCCCACACTCATCCTCAGTGACTCTGTCTTCGACCTTGGTGTCTCATCTGACCCCTAGCTGCACATTTCCTCACCCTCACCTCTTCGTCACATCCAGAGTTTTGGTTCAACCCTTTCACTCATGAAAAGGACTTTTCGCCATGCTCTGCTCTCTCCGTAATCTCTCTATTTTGAAGTCCCCCCTTTCCAACTTCGGCGACTTCCAGTGCAGCAGACCTCTCTCTACCCCTGCCCCCTTTCTTCTTCTGATATGGTTGCAGATTCTCTCCTTACTTCATTTTCCTTCTTCCTTGAATCAGTCATCTCTCTAGGCTACGTCTAAATCTTTGAGATTTTTCTGCATGACATCTCTGAGATTAAGGCCTTTCCTAGCATTCCGCATCACTGAAGCACATATCCCTCATTATCTCATTTCCTGATTACTGCAACAACCTACTCTCTGGCCATGGCAAATGCAATCATGCCTCACCCGTATCCAGTCAGAATGCTGCTGTAAAGATCATTCTTATACCCTATCACTTTGACCGTGTTATCCCTTTCTTTACGCCCCCTCCACTGGCTCCCTCTTTATTGCATCAAACATACCTATTGTCTTCACTGTCAAAGGCCTTCATGGCCTTACCCCACCCCTTACCTATCATCTCTCACTCACTACCAAGGTGCTGACTGCCACTTTCGACTGGCCCATGACGTGAGCTGCCATTGCCCACTTGTTCGATTTTCAAACTACCACGTTCATGCTTTCTCCCAAGCTGCTGCTCACAGTTGAGAGAATTCCCGATGAATATCTGCAAAACTACCTCATTTTCTGCCTTCAAATTCTTCTCCCAAGCACTCCTTCACTGTGATGCCTACATAAAGCTTAACAACAGCTAGGCCACGGATGTACAGAAACCATTTGCTGTCATGCTGCCCAGTGCTGTCTCCTCCTACTCCCCTGACTACGTCTCTGTATCCATTTGTTATTGCTTGTCTTATATTTAAAGGTCAGTGTTTTTGTTCTGTTTGTGTACAGCATCTACCATGGCAGGGTTCTGGTCCATGACTAGGACTACTAGGTTGTTTGATAACATAAATATTAAATAATAACTTCAAATTTTCCCACCTACCCCACCAATTTCAGCCTTCAAGACGTTCCACTTTTGTATTACCAAGCCTCTACACCCCTGTATAATAGTGTACACCCCTATATAATATTAGCAAGAATGCTTCTAAAGTTCCTTTGCTTGCCATAAAAACATAATTGAAATCCACCTTCTAAAAACCTTGGAAAAGATTGAGCAAGTCAGTGGTTGTAACGGAAGAAATGGGGAAGGTAATGAATATGGGCAAACAGTGCCCATTCTAGAGCAATAGAAGGGTGGACATGTTAAATTGTATCTGCTAAAACAATGAGGAGTCCTGTGGCACTTTAGAGCAGGGGTGGACAATAATTTTTAAAAAGGGCCACTTCAAAAATTTCCAAAGTGGCCCTGGGCCACCTTGGAAGGGGCAGGGCAGAAGGGGCGGGGACAGGGGACTCTCCCTGCCCCCCACCACTCTGATTGGCCAGGGGTGGGGGAGTGGAAGAAGCCTCCCTCCTCCCCTGCCACGCCTCCTAGAGAGAAACTCCAACTGTTTTAAAACAGCTGGCCGTTCCCTCTAGGCACCTAGCGGGAAGAGACCTCGCATGCTCTCCCTGCTCCCGGGCCAATCAATACCTGTTGGCTGGGAAGCACGCAAAGTCTCCTCACCCCTACAAGAGCACGTGACAGCTAGGGACACATTCTGGCAGTTTTAAAACAGCTGGTGTGTCTCTTTAGCTGCTGTGCACCCCTGGCAGGGTGGGGACAGGATGTGAGAGATTTTGCATGTTCACCGCCCCCAGTCTCTGATTAGCTTGGGGGGGGAGAGAGCGTGCAAAGCTCCCTCCCACCCACCAAAGGCGCGTGGCAGCTAGAGATAAACGCTGGCGGTTTTAAAATTGCCAGCAGGTCTCTCTAGTCTCCATGTACTCTTGTGGGGGCAAGGAGACTTCTCACACTGCCCTGTCCTAAGGCCCTGGTTGGTCTGGGGGGTGCGGGAGCAGCAGGGCAGCCCCGGGCTGGATCCACCAGCTTGGCGGACCGGATCCAGCCCTTGGAGGGCCTTTTGCCCATCCCTGCCTTAGAGACTAACTCCAATTCATCTGATGCAGTGCGTTTTACCCACAAAGATTATGCCCTAACAAATCTGTTAGTTTCTAAGGTGCCCCAGGACACCTTATTGTTTTTGCATTTTAAAGCAAGATTTTTTGACAAGAAAAATATCAGGTGCATCTTAAAAGTGGGGAAAAGGACTGAGAGTTATTTCAAGTGGGGGAAGAGAGCTCTACACCAAAAGGCACAATGATACAGTCAACTCCCAAAGTGGCACACTGTTTAGTATCAAGTGGTATCTAAATGCAGGTACCCATCAGGTTTGCATTGTAGGATGCTTTGAATACAGCTTCCATAGTGAAGGCATTGGAAAACCCACCGTGGTAGCTTTTTGTTAATTGCTGTTCACATCAAGCCAGGAAGACGGGCCAGGCAGCCTTTTCTTAAGATGAATCTCCAAGTTGCTCTGGGAGGTATGTTAGAAAGACAGGAAGGAAGGGGAGCAGGGTGAGGACTGGCAACCTCAGAGGGTGGAAAGCAACATAGCTACATAGAATCATAGGGCTGGAAGAGACCTCAGGAAGTCATCGAGTCCAGCCCGCTGCCCAAAGGAGGACCAATTCCAACTAAATCATCCCAGCCAGGGCTCTGTCAAGCCGAGACTTAAAAACCTCTAGGGGTGGAGATTCCACCACCTCCCTAGATAACCCATTCCAGTGCTTCACTACCCTCATAGTGAAATAGCTTTTCCTATTATCCAACCTAGAGTTTCCCCCCATAACTTGAGACCATTGCTCCTTGTTCTGCCATCCGTCACTACTGAGAACAGACTTTCTCCAGCCTCTTTGGAACCTCCCTTCAGGAAGTTGAAGGCTGCTACCAAATCTGCCCTCGCTCTTCTCTTCCGCAGACTAAATAAGCCCAAATCCCACAGCCTCTCCTCATAGGGCATGTGCTCCAGCCTCCTAACCATTTTGGTTGCCCTCCGCTGGACCCTCTCCAATGCATCCACATCCTTTCTGTAGTGGGGGGCCTAGAACTGGACACAATACTCCAGATGTGGCCTCACAAGTGATGAATAAAGGGGCATAATCACTTTCAGAAGAAGAGAGGCCCAGAGAACCGAAGAGCTTGAGGTGGTTTTTGCAGCATGTAACACACTATGCTACACACAAATCAAGGAAAAACACCAACTTCACAATCTGCCCTCAGCGAGGGAGGCTTCATAGCTGAGCTGCCCCAGGGAAAGACCAAGAATGACCCTCTGATGCACAACTCACATCTGGAAGGGAGGGAAGAAGTAACCCAAGCCTAGCCTTGGCCAAAAGCAGATTAATTCCCTTTGCTCTTGGACATCGCTGCTGTCTGGGATAGGTGGAGCCAAGGCTCCACCCTGACCTGTTTCTATGCATACAGCACACCCCTGTGCCTGTTCTCATTGTACTGGGACTTGCCATTCAGGTAGCTTGTAAGGGAAGTGGGGGGCTGCAGACATTACACTCCCTTTTGTGGGCTTCTCTGGCAAGTGGCAATCGCAACTGCAAAGATCCCAGGCATCCAAACATTAGTGGTCTGTGGACTGGAGGATAAATGTATTGACTGACTAAAAATAAAAACAAAAACACCCCAGCACTGCTGCTGATGCTTATTATTCCAATGAGATATTTGTGACACCACATCATTCCCAATCAGTGCTGGCAATCAAATATTCCTTCTGTGGTAAAACTGACATTTCTTCCTTGGCTTTTGCAAGGAGGGAAGGAAATGGGCATTTGGCATGAAGTCAGACCCTAACACCACCACCATTTTACATATGTGCAGGCTAGGAGAGACCATTTTCATTATTCTGGCTAAACCCCAACAATGAACTGGGAAAGTTAAACATTAGCTCAGTGGTTCCCAACTCATATTCTCCTTGTGAGGGAGTGGTAGAGTAGATGTCCCTTAACAAAATGCCCCGGCATGATTGTCAACCACCTGTTGTCCTGTTGCCCTACCTCCATCTATTCTCTCCTTTCCCTGCTCCCCTGTCTGCCGCCTCCACTGCACTTTCTCCACAATGTCTTGCATATTTTTGCCTTTCCTCTCACTTTCTTGGTGGCAGTCCTTTCATCATGCCACCACTCAGCAAATGGGTATTCAGACAGCACTGCTTTTGGTGCAGTCATTCACATGACTGTCATGACTGAGCTGAGTGCTGCAGGAGCAGAGGACAGGCACACACTGGAGCAGAGACCCAAGGAGGGCAGTTCTAAGAAAACCCTTGCTGCTTTTCTCCCAGTTATGGGAGCATATGGGGAAGAGGAACAGAGCCAATCTTCCACAAGGAAAAGGATAAGCCAGTGGCTTGTGTGTTAGCACAGGACTTGAGAGACAGGGTCAATTCACCACTCTATAACTTTCTGTGTTGACCTTAGGAAAATCACATAGTCTTTCCATCTATGAAACAGAAATAATAGCACTCCTTGACCTGACAGGGTAATGTCTGGTTAAAGACATACACATACAAAATTGTGACACACTTATATATTATGGTAATAAGGGTCATACAAGTACCTGAGATAGAAAGAATCTGCATTTGTGCTCTTCTCCCCATCCCCCCGACTAGCCCTAATTTGGAAAACTGCACATACAGAATCAAAAGAAAAAAAAATGATGGAACTAACACTGTTGTGTACAGCTCAAAGGGAAAAAAAACAACACCCAAACTACTCACTACTCACCGGAAAGAGGATCTTTGCCAATCATTAAAACATTTGGTAAATGCATTACGATCAGCTGCTGGAGGACTTCCTAAATAAAATGGAAAATTGTAAACAAGAGTCAATCAAGAATCCAAATCAATCAAATCACTCAAAATACACAGTTGTACTGATTTTCAAGGCTTTGACAGATTGGCAATTAAGGAGGTCACGAGGTGAATCCCACATGAGACATAAATCATTCTTTGAAGATGGCTGCGGATCCCACAATTGAGATACACCAATGGGTCTCTTATAAATGATAGCTATGGTCGGATGTAAGGGTCTCTTGGCACTAATCAATACGAATGCAAATGATGCCTGCGGACAGCCAATCAATCATATCTTTCTATACCAATCCATAGTTACTGCCAGGTTTCTGGACTTACAGCTGTAGCATGTTGGCCAAAGTTATGTAAGCCATTCTAGTATGGCTGCATAATTCAAATAATTGGTTAAATTATTACATGGGTCTGACATTTTCAGGATGAATGGGGGAGATGTGAGGAGAAAAGAAAGTTACCAAAGTGATCACCTGCACTGCTGTGAGAAACTGGACTGAAAAGCTGTGACCTTTTAGGTACAGCAGAGCAGACACCTCCCTAAATACTAATCTTTCCCACCATGGGTCTTGGACAAGTGCAACTGTACTTTTGGTGGGTGTGTGGGAACTCTCCACAATAGATGGAGAACAGGTGGTCATGTAACTTTGGCAGGTTTCATTTTTCAAAAAATATCAGCTGTTTGAAGCTGAGCAGAGCCTTAGAATACCAGAATGGGCCATGAGGAGATGGATAGGTAGCCAGAGGACAGGTGCAGTGGTCAAAGGTGCATGATAAGTACACCACAGAGATGACAGTTATAGGATAAACTGCAAACCATGTGATTAATAAATATTTTGTGGCTTAGAATGAAAGTAATTAGCACTTGCTGGGATGAATAACACCACTATTTCTGTCTCTCTCCTCATCTGAATAGAGAGATCATTTTGTGGGTTCATGCACTAGACTGGGATTCAGGGGATACAGGTTCTTTACCCAGCTCTCCCTCCCCTTTGACACATGCCTTAACGTTAACCTGTCTACCTCCATTTCCCATCCTGAGTGCACGTGAGGCACTCAGATATTATGGGAGTCAGAGCCATAGCAAAGACTATAAATAAGCACATGTGTGTGCATCTCCCTCTCTATTTATCTATATATACACTCACATTTCTAGAAACAGTCACCACCTAATCCAAACACTTTCCCTGGATTGTTATTTCTGCACTTAGAGAACCATTATAAAAGGAAACTGAATCTGAATGGATAAGGATCCAGCAGCATCTAGAGAGGAATTGGAAGGGATTTTTGAAACCATTTTGGGTGCAATGTTCCATTTTTTCTCTGCTCCCAATTTAAATAAACAACACATACTTAAAGCAATACTTAGTAGGCATAAAGCAGAAATGTGTTAATGCCACAGCTGATATCTTTGGTGATGTTAGGAAAGAATAATGTAACCTAACTCTGGGGTTTTGTCTACACTGACAAATGAGTGACAAAGCTTCTGTCACTCACAGGTGCTTAACTCCCCTTCCAAAGGACAAAAGCTTTGCCATGGCAAGTACTAGTATAAACAGTGCTTTGTTGGCACGAGAGCTCTCCTGCTGAGGGGAAGAAATGTAAAAGGCTAACTGGTTACCTGGAAAGCATTAGCCTTACAGGCATGCATCTCTAGTAACTGATTAATTGACAGCCTGGCCCAGACAGAGCAACCTCCTGCCCACAGTGCAACCCAGCATCCCTGGCTGGCTGGAGCAGTCCCTGCCCACAGAGGGCCAGACTGGAGGAGCCACCTGCCTGCATTATCCCAAAGTTGTATAGTAAACATATTTTCAAGACAAAAGTTTGTTTTCACTTATTGTCAAATAGGTGCAAAACACATTAGATTTCATAGCACATGGCTGGAATTTGATACTCTGCTGATCAGTTCCACAATGAATTTTCTTCTTTGGCAGAAGCAAATTTTGACAGTTCTGTTAATGAATTTGTCTCTCACTACTGAGCTCCTTGGCAAAAGAGAATTTTGTTTTCAGTCCTCCAGCACATGGAGGGGCACTGAGACTGTCTTTGTCTAATCATCAGATCCCTTGCTATTTAACCAGCAGAGACAAAAGGCACTGGGGCTAAACTTTATGTAGTCAGAATTCCCACACACTCCCTCTGAAAATTATTGCTTGATTACTCCAGCCAGTGTAATTGACTAGCTTCCCTTCTAGTGGTATGGTTTGAGTCTCTGAAGTGTTTTCTTGTACTAATATGAGAAATGGGCCCAAAACATGAATATCACATCAAACCATGATTTTCCAATTCAGATTAAAAGATTCCGTTAGATGCAAGAGATTGTACCTAATTCTCTTTAACCTGGTTTTAAGCTAAAGAATAACTATCTTTACCTTCACTACTAGTATCACCTTAGGTTATTAATAATAATACTCGTATACAATACATTGTAAGATTCTTATATACTGCTTTTCATCAGTAAATTTGAAGTCATCAGTGTCAATGTCCACCTTTTACAGTCAGGGAAACTGAGGCACAAAAGTGAAATGGCTTACCAAAGTCACACAATAAGCTAATTACACAGCTAGGAATATAATCAGAGTCCCAGTTCTATGCTCCATTTGTTAGACAACACTGCCTCCTTCTAACAAGATCATGGAATTCTTAAAATTCTACCTAAACATCAATATTTCTCTTATTTGCTTAGTTCTGGCATTTTCTCTCAGGTTGGACAATGAAAATCCATCCAGCCAAACTCAGCAGATCTTCAGCGATGCATTATTTGAATGTCACTGAAGGAAAATGTTTGACTAAAGGCATTTCTTTTTCTTTTGGAATTGTTAAAATCACAGAAACATTTCTATTAGCCAAAAGTTTTGAAAAAAAAAGTTTTATAAAATATGACCCTAAAAAACTGACATGACCCTAAAAATGAGCTGTAGTGTTTACAGAGGTGGTGTTTTGCAAATCAACTCTACTGTATTTACAAGTAAGACTCGTCTTCCTACCAAATGAAAGACCTGCAAATTCCTAACAAAAGACGTGTATTCTTTAAAGCTAATGAAAAGTTTGTGGGAGAAAAGAACCTACATCCCCAGCCTGCTCCTGCACCCTCCACCCAGCCAGACACCTCCCACCCTGGCCAGGCATCCTACCCCCACCCTGCTCTTGCACCCTCCCTCCTGGCCACACACTGAACCTTCCCTTACTCTTACCTCCTCCCCCGGCCAAACACCCTACTTCGAGGCCTGCTCCTGTACCCTTCCTCTTATACAGACCTTACACCCTCCCCCCCCTACATCCCACCTCTTGCCCAGATCCCGTACCCCCATTCCTCTCTCAGGCAGCCCTGTTCTGAGTGAAGTGTCTCAATTGGAAGCCACATCATCAATGAGGGTTGGGGATTTTTGGAGGGTTTTTTTGCTTCTCACTTGTGTGGTTCTCAACTGACTTTTCCGTGGGTCACTGGTCCCTAACCCAAAAAAGTTTCTCCACCATAAAGAAAGAGAGGCAGGAGAAAACATGGGAACCTTTTGTGTTGGACATGAATTAATATTTTACTTTATTTAAAACTAAGCCTGAAACTAAAGTGAGAAAGTTAAAGCGCTTAGTCTGTTTAATACATTTAAATTAATATTTCCTTTCTTACTGGTTAAATTAAACCGTTCTTCCTCGCTGCAGAGTCCCAGTTCTATATAATTATATAATTACAATTATAATTATATAATTACACTTTGAGCAAAATGGCTCAAGTGTAATTATATAATTAATAGTGAGTTTTCATTAGCAACTGGAAGTCCATGGAAAGGTTTGCATTGAACCAGGTGGTCCACGGGCCAAAAAATGTGAGAACTACTGGCCTAGTGATTGATGCTGGGGAGCTATTGGCGTTCTAGGCCTACCATTTACCTGCCCTCCCTTACCATCTTTGGAATGTCTACCCCCAGAGGCAGCACAGAGACTACAGTGGTTTGTGGCATCTGCAGAAGGGTATGTGATCAGGGGTGCAGGGGACTCCATGCTCACTCATCCTCTGCAGCTGCTGAGGAATCTAGTACGATCCATTGCTCAGTGAGGTGATCTCAGCTATGCTATATGGCTCTAGTCTCAAGAGTGTATGAGGGGGCGGGGAGCACTTCAAAGGTGATCAGTATCCCACTGATTTCAGTGGAGCAGAATTAGGCCCACACTGAGCATTTCTAAAAATCTCACCCAGCTCCAGTGTTCTAACACTCAGCACTGTGCTTTCTGCGAAGGGGAGGTTCAGAAACTGGGAATGTCTCTCTCTAAAACAGAACACACCCCTTTCACTCTATGCGCAGTGCTGGATTTTCTGACTTTTCCCTGCTCCGCCCGGCTTTTGCATGTGACCACAGTGCTCCCAGCACCAATCGTAGCCCCACCTCCCAGTAGCTTCCCCGCCCCCACCAGACTTCTCTCCGGCACCCAGCCAGAAATTCAGAAAATACCGGACATTGCACATGTCCAGTATTTTCTTAATTTTTCTACCAGACAGATGGCACAAAAACCGGACACCTGGCAACTCTAGGTGGGCCATGGGCCAAAAAGTTTGAGAACCACGGTGTTAGGGGGTAGGAGAGCACTGTGTTGTGGGGGAATGGGCGGACAGGGCTGGTGGCATTCTGGTAGAGCCGCAGGAACGGGCCCCTCCACCTGCAAGGAGCAGCTTCGGCTCTGCCTACATTCACCCAATGCTGGCCTTGCCTACCAGGTAGAGCAGGATGCTGAGGGAGCAGGGGGCCATGGAGGCCTAACTATCCACTATGATCCCAGAAGATAGTTTCTATAAATCCTTTATTACTGTATAATTGTTTAGTACGTTATAAGAAAATAATTTTACCAATCACAGTTTCCACTTTCATTTTTCATTAACCTCTCTTATGCACACTCATTTCATGACTATTTTAAAAGCTCCTTTATATTTAAAAAAATTGCGGTCCACATTTACAAAAAAAAGCACCACCTCCTGTCCCAGGAATTCCTGCGT